AACACATGGCAATATACTTAAAACTGAGTTTACAGTGTACAATGCACTGAGACATGGAACAGCTTTGATATAATCTTGATAATATTAATTAACTGGATTTCAACTTGTAATACATATTTTTGAACAGTGTATGTGTCACTCAAGCAAGTGCAACAGTATATGCATTCTAAATGTCACACATACAAGGCAGCCTAAGTGAGACCAGTAAGCTCTTTTCAAATAGAGGTCTGCCTACAGTCAAAGCACTCATAGATAGAACTTGAACATCACAAATAGAGTTTTCCTTCTCAAAATTATCCTGACACTCTGGCCTTGAAAAACAACCACCACCATGTAACAAAAGACAATACCATAGAATATCCTTTAAACAAGCATTAGAAGACAGGATTAACTTCTAATACTACTATTAAGATGTCTAGTTTTGATCTCTTATACCCATAATACTTCTATACTATAATTATTTTCCATCTGTAAAATGGAAATAGGACTATTTTATAGTTCTAAAGACTTTGTTTGGTAATTTTCTATTTATAGTATAATTGGTTTTACTAGCATTAAAGCAAAAAGCAACATAAACAAATTCAGTATTATTACAAATTCTTCCTTAAAAAAGGTACACAGGGATCCCTGGGTGGCGCAGCGGTTTGGCGCCTGCCTTTGGCCCAGGGCGCGATCCTGGAGACCCGGGATCAAATCCCACGTCGGGCTCCCGGTGCATGGAGCCTGCTTCTCCCTCTGCCTGTGTCTCTGCCTCTCTCACTGTGTGCCTATCATAAATAAATAAAACTTTAAAAAAATATATAAAAAAATAAAAAAGGTACACAAAATATTTAGAAACGCTTCCCATTTCTAAAATTAAAGAGGCATCTGTAAACGCCTCATTAAATTGAACCTACTATTCTATAGGTTTGCTTATATATAGACTAGGATTCATAGTTTACTCTTACAGGAAAAAAATACAATAAAACAATATAAAAGCAAAAAGGTATACATGCAAAATAGAATGACAATGCAAAGTAACTGTTGAGATTATATTCTGATTGGCAAACAAAACAGAATACCTAGCGAATGATCAGTTCTCAATGAGGAATATCAAACTTTTTTTTGTCTGAACATAACCTATGCAATCTCACTTTTTAACATACAGTAAACTGCACAAAATATAAAATTTGATAAACTTGAAATATATATATATACCTATAAGCCATCACCATAATCAAGATAAGGAACATATCCACCCCTCCCAAACAACTTCTTGTACCCAGGCAACCACTAATCAGTTTTCTGTCTTTATAGATTAGTTTGCATGTCCTAAAATTTTATACACATAGATAATATAGAATGTTCTCTTTCTTGTCTGGTTTCTTTCGCTCAGCATAATTTTTTGAGATTCATTCATGCTATATACGAGATTCATTTTTGTGAAACAATTCTCAAGAAATAACACCCCATTCTGAAATAGTTCTGTGATTTCGTATTTTGCTATACATTAAGACTTATTAAGTTGACTCTCATTGGAAATGCCAAAATAAACTCTAAAATAAAATCAAACAATAAAAATCCCATAATTCTCAATTGTTTACTTGTTCATATAAATAATTCATTTTTTTGGATGCCCTATATTAGTATCTAATCTGGTCTACAGCACCTGACTGAATATTCTAATTTAATGACATCCACAATAGTGTTTAGCATCTTTGCCTGTCTCAGTTTGTGCCCAGACTGATGCTCCCTGGTGGTCCAGTGATTAGGATTCAGCACTCTCAGTTTGTGCCAAGAATATAACCCTCTTTTCCCTTTTAGGTCCTAATTGAATAATAATAATAATAACAACAATAATAGACATTGATATATCAAAATAATTTTAAGTTTCAGGTAATTTTAAAAGGTGAATTCTTAAAAAAATAAAATAAAAGGTGAATTCTTTTTTGTTTTTAATATTCCTAAATTATGCCTTTTTTTTTTAAGTTTTTATTTATTTATTCACGAGAGACACAGAGAGAGAGAGGCAGAGACACAGGCAGAGAGAAAAGCAGGCTCCATGTAGGAAGTCTGATGTGGGATTCGATCCTAGGACTCCAGGATCACACCCTGGGCCAAAGGCAGGCGCTAAACCGCTGAGCCACCCAGGGATCTCAAATTATGCCTTTCAATAGAAATTTGGAATCAAGGTAATAGGAAGCACACCTAAAATCTAGATTATGGTCACTTGTCCATTCCACATTAAAAGAAACAAGAACCCTAAAGAAATGGATAATTCCAGACCTGGGGCTGGAATATACAAGGTGAGTCCCAATCATGTTCTTGTGCCAAAAGCAAGGAAGCTTTTGAAAATTAATAGGGTCACGTTAAAAGAAAACACAGGAGCCACCCTGAAAGGGTCACTCCTATTAACAATTTCAGCATTCAACAGAACAATAATAATAGATTAAAAACAGCAAGTCAACTGAATACACACAAAGAGAAAGTTGGAAATTTAATATCACTATTTAAAGCAACTCCTTGAAAAAAAAAAAAAAGCAACGCCTTGGTAAGGGAAAAGTAAGCATTTATTTACCCTTTCCAGTACGAACTGTATGAGATCCAACTGATGAGAGCGAAGCTCCACTTTACAGAATGATGCCAGTTAATAATAATGTATAAGGAATGACAGAATCAAAAAATCATCATTCCACAACCCTTATTTAGGCAAGGATTCTCAAATGATTATAAATGATTTATATAGTGCCAAAGTAACACCACATAGATAATTTTCAGGTTACAGAACGTAAAACATAACTACAATGGAGGGGCAAGGTTATCATCCTAATTCACTGTTTAAACTTAGTGTCACTACAGCAGGTCATCCAGATGTCATGTGTGTCTTGATGTGAAGCAGATATGAAGTACACCATATTATCCATGATGTATTCTAGCCAAATATTTGACTTGAACTGCCTTTAAAACTTGGTTCCAGGGTAGGCCCCGGGTGGCTCAGCGGTTTAGCACCGCCTTCAGCCCAGGGCCTGATCCTGGACACCCGGGATCGAATCCCACATCAGGCTCCCTGCATGGAGCCTGCTTCTCCCTCTGCCTGTGTCTCTGCCTCTCTCTCTCTCTCTCTCTCTCTCTCTGCTTCTCCCTCTGCCTGTGTCTCTGCCTCTCTCTCTCTCTCTCTCTTTCTCTCTCTCTCTCTGTCTCTCATGAATAAATAAATAAAATCTTTAAAAAATAATAATAAATAAATAAAATCTTTAAATAAAAAAACTTGCTTCCAGTTTGTAGGAACCATAGGAATGGTAGGAACAAGCCAACACTACTATGAAGGAGCAAGAAGATAAATCCCAAAGATGTTGACATTTTGCAAAACAAATGGCACAGTCCTGTCCACAAATCAATGTCATGAAACAAAACGTGAAAGAGTAGGAGTCAAATGAAAAGAGACCATGGGCAATGTATAGTCCCATATTCACTCTAGTTTGAACAAATAAATTGAAATTTCAAGGACATTTTGGGGCAACTGAGAAAATTTAAATACAGTCTGATTATCAGATAAAATGGAAATGTACTGTCATGAAATACATGTACTTAATTAAGCAAACAGATTAGAATACAGCAAGCACAATATATTACTTTGGTAAACGCTACTTTAATCCATATGTGTGCGCTTAGAAAAATGTCTGGAATGATATATATTAATGTGTTAAGAGTAGTGATTTCTGAGTAGCAGGAATGTTTTCATTTTATTTTGGTTTTCTGTATTTTATAACTTGCTACAATGCACATATCCTGCTTTTATAGTAGAAATTAAATAAATAGTAAGAAGGCTTCAATAAGCCATCTTCCAACTTTTGGAGGCAACATGCCATAGTGTAAAATATTCTGGACAAAGACAGGCCATCGAGTTTCAAATTTAGCTCTGTCATTGACCATGGGGCAAATTGCCCAACCTTTATAGGTTGTTTTAATTTCTTCATCTGTTAAGCTGAAATATTTCACAAGTAAGGATAAATAAAATAATACAAAACTTTTTACGACTGTAAAGTGTGACTGTGATATTAGTTATTATTGTTATTAATGATACAGTCTGCAGAACTATGAGTCAACCAGCCACTGTAATTCAGACTTCTTCTGGACTTCTGAATTACACTACTACAATGTCTATTTCAGCCCAGGGAGATTGCTGGCTTAGGGTTGCATCACAAAACTTATTAAAACACACACACCCCCATCCCTGATGTCAAAGCTGTTTCCTACATGACGTAACTTTAGTGTATCATAACAATGCATTAAGGAACTTCTGAGGTAGACGGTTAGCTGTCTGCTGCCACTGGGAGAGCCCAATGTTTTAGTTTGTTTAGTTTTAGTTTTAGTTTTCCTCTGCAACATTTTTACAAGGGATTCACGTGTCGGGACATTTACTGCTTATAAGTTGCATGGTGGCTGCTTCTTCTGAATGCTAGTCTCTTCACTTTTCATTATGACTTTCCTTCTTTTCTCTTCCAGTTCTCTTCAAGAAGTTTGCTTTTATAACCATTATCAATGAGAGTGTGTGATTTTTAAATATTTAATTTAAAAACTTTTAAAAGTATTTTCTACCCCCAATGTGGGGCTCCAACTCATGATCCCAAGATCAAGAGTTACATGCCCTACTGATTGACTTAGCCAGGCACCCCAAGGAACTGTTTTTGTTTTTTAATCAGTGGCAAAAAGAATGATCCCACTGTTAGATTTAACCTTTTACATACTTCAGTTTTTGTTATTAGTGACTAGGATTCAGGGCCTGAATCTTTAATTCCTGAGAAAGCCTGTTGATTCTTTGAACACTAAGGTTTCCAGAAGGCAGGTCTCCAGATAAATTAAGTGTTAATATATGTTTCTAACATGGTAACTGGTCAAAAGATAATTACCAAATTAAATCTTGTATATTATTAAAAATAAATATCTCTTTTAATAAGTACCTAATAACAAAAGGACAGCAGTAATCAATTTGGCAAAATAGATGAACACATTTACAATACCTTTTAAAGCTTCCGTTTCTATGTCTACTAATGGCTTTCCCACATAGGCAATATCGTCTAGATTATAATACAGTTTTTTAATGACTCCATCATAACGACTACTGATAGTAACAGAAGCTTTATCACTTTGAACTTCACAGATGCTATCAAACTGAGACACTGTATCTCCTTCTTTTACATACCTAAAAGAAAAAGACACAAAACACTTTTACATGAATAAGTATATAATAGTAATCATTCTAACAATGCACATGCTACACTGAATTAGATCAATATCCATCTAGTACATCACTTAGTTCCAGATGGTGCACCAAAGAATGTTTCAGAAAAGATTATAAAGGCTTCCAAAGTTTCTTTGATGTATCCCCAAGAAATACTAAAACTTTAAAAACCATTCATAGATCCATAACCCAATAATTTAATTACACTTTCAGGTGTTAAGCCTCATCCATTTCTTGGAAGAAATTCTAAAAATATGTTTTTAAAATGTTATTTCCCTTTATTGCTTTTTATTAGGCTTAATCAAACTTTAAGGGATGCCTATTATTCTATAATTAGTCCAAAAGTTAATATTCCTAAAGCATATTCTTTGTAATTTTATAAATTTTTGATTGAATTCTCTCAGTCTTTCCTTCTAGAATTATTCTAATGTATCCTTGTTTTTTTTTTTTAATTTTATTTATTTATTCATGATAGACACAGAAAGAGAGAGAGAGAGGCAGAGACACAGGCAGAGGGAGGAGCAGGCTCCATGCAGGGAGTCTGACGTTGGACTCAATCCTGGGACTCCAGGATCACACCCTGAGTGGAAGGCAGGCACTTAAACCACTAAGCCACCCAGGCTGCCCTCTAATGTATCCTTGTATATGAGTCTCTCTCTCCTTAATCATCGTAGGTAAGCTTTATAAGGTTCTTCTAGATATTCTTAGCAAACAGAACAGGAGGAATAGGACCAAATCTGAAATAAAACATACAATTTTGATTCTAACACCATTCTTGATGTATCTGGCACATCTCTTATTACCACCAATTCTTCATCAAGATATTTGTTCAGTCATTCTTATTCCTTGTCTTCATGTCTTAATTAGTTCTCAGTGTATAATAAAACATCACTATGACATAGAAACTAGATTTAAAAGCACAGATAGAGGACTTACACTTTTAGAATTGTGGACTAAGGACCTCTGGAATTCTTCTCCTCTATAAATGCAAGTATACTGGCAAAAGTTGTTAAAAACGGACTTTTAGGGGATTCCTGAGTGGCTCAGCAGTTTAGTGCCTGCCTTCGGCCCAGGGCATGATCCTGGAGACCTGGGATCGAGCCCCACATGGGACTCCCTGCATGGAGCCTGCTTCTCCCTCTGCCTGTGTCTCTGCCTCTCTCTCTGTGTCTCTCATGAATAAATAATAAAATCTTTAAAAAAAGAAAATAAATGCCTTGATCTTTAAAAAACAAAAAACAAAAAACGGACTTTTACAGAATTCTAGAAATTACAATAAGGCTTGCAACAATCATGAAAGACCTATTCAGGAAAACTGGCTGAACCTCATTAAAAACAGCTAGTTTTATTATTTTACCTTGTTTTATTCTCATTCTCCTTTCCTCAGCTCAGTATTGGTCTTGAAAATCAGCAGCCTTACAGCCATAGTAAGTAAGGGCAGACCCCAGTTTGAAGTTCCACAAAAAACCTATACTCCCAGAGAACTGTCACTATTTGACATGTTCCGTTCTCTGGAAAAATACCAGTCACAGAGTTTACTCATATTTCGCCTGACTTGCTCCTTCCCTCAGGGTGTTTGCTGAAAACAGTCCATAGAAACTCTGGAATTGTTTAAAATCATGGCTGCCTGAGGCAATGATAAAAGTCAGGGCAACCAAGAGGTTCCTAAAAGGAAGATCTGGGTAATGAGACGTTCATACATCTTACCACATATCTAGTTTTCAACAAAAAATTACAAGACATGTAAAGAAATAGAAAAGTATGGCCCATGTACAGAGAAAAAAAGCAATCAATAGAAACAATCCCTGAAAAAAGAAAAAGAAAAAAAAAAAATCCCTGAGGATGCCCAGATGTTAATTAACAATAATTAATGTTAATTAACTTTAATAAAAGTTAAATTAAATCAACAATTAAATTAATCAACAACTAAAGGAAACCATATCTAAACAATTAGAGGAGAAAATGATGTCTCACCAAATAAAGAATACCAATAAAGAGATAGAATCTTTTAAAAAATAATGGCTAAAAACTTTCTAAACTTGATGCAAACATTAATGTACATATATAAGGAGCTCAACAAAGTCCAAGTAGGATAAGCTCAGGAACCCTTATAACACCAACAGATGTTTTTTGTCAGGAAGTAAGGAAGCCAAAAGGCAATTGAATGATACACTCAATATGCTGAAAGAAAAAAAGTCAGTCAAGGATCTTATATCTAGCAAAACTATGCTTCAAAAATGAAGGAGAAATGAATACATTCCTAAATAAATTAAAACAATTTTTGCTAGCAATCTGCCTTATAAGATATACTAAAAGGAGTCCTTCAGGCTGCAATAAAAAGACAATAGACAGCAACCCAAATTCACATGAAGAAATAAAGAATACTAATAAAGAGAACCACATAGGTAAATATACAAAACACTATATTTTGTTTGTACCCCTTTTTACTTCTATCTGGTTTTAAGACAAGAGCATAAAGCAATACTTTAAAACTGTTGATGGGCTTATAATGTTTAAACATGTAATACAGGGACGCCTGGGTAGCTCAGAGATGGAGCGTCTGCCTTTGGCTCAAGGCGTGATCCTGGAGTCCCGGGATCGAGTCTCACATCAGGCTTCCTGCATGGAGCCTGCTTCTCCCTCTGCCTATGTCTCTGCCTCTCTCTCTGTGTCTCTCATGAATAAATAAATAAAATCTTAAAAAAAAAAAAACAACATGTAATACATATGACACTAATAGCAAAAAAAGAGGGGAGAAGAGAAGGACCTACCTTGGAGCAACATTTTTAACATACTACTGAAACTAAGTTGGTATTAATCTAAACTACATTGTGTTTTAAACCACATGGCAGCTACTAAGAAAGTAACTAAAAATATATAGAGGTAAAAGAAACAAGGAAATTAAAATAGTACAGTAGACAAGAGGAGGCACTAATGGAGAAATACATGAACAAAAACCACATAAAACATATACAGAACAAATAGCAAAATGGCAGAGACGAATCTTACCTTATCCATAATTACATTAAATGTAAATGGCTTAAACAGGCCAATAAAAGGCATTCAATGGAAAAATGGACTTCAAAAAATGATTCCAAAAATGGGACTTCAAAAAACAATCCTACTATATGCTATCTACAAGAGACACAAATAGGTTGAAAGTAAAAGGATGCAAAAAATATATATCATGCAGCTAGGGAAGATGGTGGCAGAGAAGGAGGACCTGAGGCTCACCTTATCCCACAAATACAACTAGATAACTCTAAAATCATCCTACATACTCCAGAAATCAATCTTAAGACTGGCAGAACAAACTTCACAACTAAAGGTAGACAAGAGGCCACATCAATGAAGGTAGGATGTACAGAGATCTAGTTTGGGAGAGAAACAGATTGGCTGCTGTAGTTGGGAAGTAGCTGCAGTGGCATAGAAGGGTGAGAGTCAGAGTAGCACACAGGGGAGTGCATGGGGAAAACCAATTCCCATAGCAGTTGCCTTGGAAAGCGAGGGGCCAAATTTTGGGAGTTCTTGCCACCAGCATGGCTTAAAGCCTGGAATTGTAAAGGTCAGTGGGCTTAGCTCAGATAGAGTCTGAAGGCATTGAGGCTGCTCTTGGGAGAGAAGGCAGAGCAAACAGCCTGCAGATGTATAGCATGGAAATGGTGACCTCAAGAACACCTATCATAAGGTGGGGAGGCTATTTGCTCATCTCAGAGCACATCCCAGAGAACCAGCATTCACAGAGAGAAGTCTCCAGGAACAAAGGAACTGGCAGGTTCCATTTTCCTCCCCAACCCTCAGCAAAACCATAGGACTACCTGCGGGAGTCAACATAATGCTGACATTCGAAACTTAGCATGTTTACATCAAGTCCCGCTACCCCCTCCACTCATGCTCCAGGAGAACCACCCTTCCTGGTCACACTGGCCTCAGTCCCAGCATGGTGGGCTCCCTCCCCCAGAACACAGGCCCAAACTCCTTTGGGAGTTTTGCAGAGCCTTGGTACTGACAGTGGTGGCAACAGGTCTCATTTCATGAGCAGACCTAATTAAAATGCACCACAGACCAGGGACCAAATACTGCCCACAACAGGCAAAGGCAGCCTCTGTAGACAACTGGCCTAAGGGATAAACTGGTCAAGATAAAACAGTAGAGCACATGCAACACACATTGGAGACACTCTCAGAAGCACCAGGCCCTGGGGAACAGGGGACATTACACTGCAGAGCACTAGAGGACCTCTTCTTCATAAGGCCATTACCCTCAAGAACAGGAGAGGTAGCTGACTTTCCTAACACAAATAAATGGAACTTAAATAAAAGGAGAAGACAGAGAAATTTTACCCAAATGAAAGAACAGGAGAAGGCCATGACTGGAGATCTAAGCAAAAGAGATAATAGTAACATGCCTGGTGGAGTATTTCAAGCAATAATCATAAAAATACTCTTTGGGGCCAGCCCTGGTGGCCCAGCGGTTTAGCACCGCCTTCAGCCCAGGGTGTGATCTTGGAGATCCGGGATCAAGTCCCACGTCAGGCTCCCTGCATGGAGCCTGCTTCTCTCTCTGCCTGTGTCTCTGCCTCTTTCCCTCTCTGTGTCTGTCATGAATGAATGAATGAATGAATGAATGAATGAATAAATAAATAATCTAAAAAAAAAAATACTCCTTGGACTTGAGAAGAGAGTGGAAGACATCACTAAGCCCCTTAACACAGAGATAAAAAAGAACCAATCAGAGATGAGGAGTACAATAAACAAGATTAGAAACACACTTGATGCAATGAACAGCAGGTGGGAGAAGTAGTGGAACAAGTTAATGACCTAGAAGACACAGTAATGGAAAGTAATCAAGTTGAACAAAAGAGAAAAAAAGAATTATGCAAAATGAGAATAGACTTAAAGGAACTCAGTGACTCCATCAAACATAATAACATTTATATTATAAGAGTCCCAAAAGAAAGA